ATACAAAATATTATGGCGAAAACTTTTTGGCCAAGAGAAAGTTTAATACAAGCCAAACTTTACGTGTCACTGATTGTATTACAACAGACAGTGAAGTTTATACTAGCTTTTTGAGGCCTGAGCAAGCTGATTTGGGCAAATCGGAACTTCTCAATCAACACTGCATCAGTTGTGTGTACCTTACATAATGATTCGCACATGGCTCCATATTAGTTTATAATGTTTGAAGCTACCATTAAAATAGTCAAATAAGGTTGCACTAACGTTTTTCTCTGTAAACAAGTCTATATTCCCACACATGTAGGTGCAAACTGATCCGATTCACTACTGTTGTCATTTTCAGACAGTGCATTTTCTGATTTCATGTTCAAGTGGCCCTGGTTACCAATGTTCTGAACACAAGCACGAGCCAACAAATGTGCCTTTCTGAAGCTCTGAAATCGTTTCATTCAGATGTTTTCTAATAATTAAAATGTTGAAATTTTTTTTTTAAAGTGATTAGGACGGCAAATTTACAACAGCGGCAGGCAGCTGAGCGGTCAGCTGTTCGTTCTGATGAGGTAAATCCAGGAGGACCCATTTCATCTGTGAAGGATGTGCTAGTCCCCCATATTTGCATCAGAAGGACAGTTTCAGACAGAACCATAATCATACTATGGCTAAGATGCATTGACATATTTGCAGCTACAGTCTGTGTATAACTACAACGTTAATATTTTATGTGTATGGGATTATAGGTCCTGTTTTTTCTACTTTTTTTTTAAAATTTATTCAGCACTGTATGGAAACATAGAGCCTCTGAGTGATAAACTAACCCAGAAATGTATAATAATTTTTGAATTTGTTAGGAGACTGAATAAACGTTGAAATGTTATTCTCAAGTATAGGTGTTTGCTGCGCTTGTGGCTGCAAAACCATGGTAAGCGGAGATTTTTAGGGTGACATTGTGTCCTTGTGAACATAACACTTGCTGCATTCTCTTTTCATACTAGCTATAACAGTTTGAAACAAAAACATATCAGATTCAAAATGTAAATTTATTCCTTCTTTTTTTAAATATATATTTTTGTAGGGATTATAAATATATCACATTCTCAATTGGCATTTTGTTTATCACCTCCCCTTTTGCCATTTTTGTAAAGGGAAATTAATGTGAGCCAAGTCTGTCAAAATTCATGGGCCTAAAAGAGCTGGAGACAACACTGCAGATATATTTCAAGTGAACAAAAAAGAAGAAGAAAAAGAAGTCTTAAAAAATAATATTGAAACAGTTCCTTTAATATAAATGTGATTGTTTTAATTTAAATATTATATATTGTGATTATATGATACAAAATACATTAGTGCCATAAGTTCAAATCCCCACATAGGCACGTTTGGATAATTATATAGATTAACACAAAAATAGGAATCACTCTCAATGGTGAGTGTGACTATCAAGACCTGATCACATTAGAAAAACTCTTCTATAGCTACAGCATGGCTATCAATGTGCCATGTATGTCTTTACATCTTATGCTTATTCAGGAAACTTACAAATCTCTGACAACATATTTGTCCATGTAAAGTTGTGTATTTGGCCTCTGTGGAAGTATCACACCCATGTGTTTGGTGGTAGGTATAAAAAAGGCATTTTTGTTTTGCCTTGTTAAAAAAATTAATTTTAAAAATGTAACAAAAGTTAAAAGAAATGAAAAAATGAAAACACATTAAATGTTGGGTGGGACTCACAGAAGAGGCAATAACATATCACACATTGCTCTGGATTGAGGGATTTAAACCAGCTAGTGTGATAGGATAATTCCCCCAAGAATAGACCAACTGTTCCATAACAAGCATGTCGTTAAAGTAGACTAATTAGGGATGTTTCCTTTAAAGTCTGAGTGCATCGACCTAAAAGGCAAGGACCCAACAGTTTTCATATAATAATGAGATAGATCTGTAAAATAAATGTGCATGCAAAACTCAGGTTTTGGAACAAAGAACAAAGTCAGAAAGTGGACGAACAAACCTGAACTTTCCTCTGGAGTTTTCAGCCAGTAAAGGCAAAGAAGATAGGGTAAGATAGTAACTAGCATTCGGACCTGCTTGCTCAGTGGTCTTTTGTTCGAATCCCTATCAAGTTATATTTTTAACATTGAAATGCACTGCCAGCTCACACCAGCCTGATCACGACTGCCAGGACATCTTCTGGAGACATTGGCAGACGTAGTGTGTGCCAACCGTTTTGCCAGTTAGAAGTGTGCGGCTATAAACTGCTATTACTGCCATCATTCACCATTTTTATTGTGTTGGCAGGGGGATCTTTGAGCCTGAGGATTCATAGCCACATGGCTGGTGCTGTCACCATGGACTGTATAGGTTAGGGTTTTATTTTTGTCCTATACAGGAGAAAATCCAACTGGCACTCGTAGAAAGAAGCAGAGCGACTTGAGGACACACTAGTCAACATAGCGGGTGGAAAACTTTAGTTATCCTGGGAATCGAACTTGAGGGGCAAGTGTTATCGACGAATGACCAATTCAACACTCCTAAGATATAATGTCATCATTAGTCAGGTCTATCCTAGGACTTGAACCTGTAACTGAAATTAGGGAATGATACTGTTTAAACCATTGTCTAGCACTAAGGATTACATAAATTTATGCTAGCAAAAAAGCTGTCACTGCTAGTCAGTTAGTCAATAGATAATCCTCAAAGCACATTGAACAATTCAGTTCATTAGTGCACGGATCCCCACCTTAATCAGTCCTGCAGCACATAGCTTCTCACGACACCAGTTCTGTGTTGGTTTCTTATTCTTCTTTGGCTTTCTGGATGGTTCTCTTGTCTGGCCACCCTCTTTTAAACATGTTCTTGAAGTCTGGTGATGGTTGCAGATTCACAGTCATCACTGGTTCTCTCAAACATCTTACTTCTCGTAGAGCATTCAGAACATCAGCATGGTCCGTTGCTCGTTTGCCCTTCAAAGTAGCTTTACCTGCAAGCCTATCAGCTTGCTCATTTCCTTGTACCCCTGCCTGTCCTGACACACATTTGAAACTGATATGTATCTGATTCAACCCCGACCGATTTAGACAATACAACCCCTGTCTTCTGACTTAGCCCTTCTCTATCTTCCTGATCATACTTAATGAGTCACTGAGAAAGCATGCGCGGGAAAATTTATACTAAGCATACAATCGAATAACAAACTCAACACACATAAACACACCATACGGTTATGCTGTGATAGTTATGCATCGAATAGTTTTGTATCTTCTATCTTCATATCTCTCTCCTTCCTTCCATGAGTGCCAGTCAATACATGCCAGTTTGTTTATATTTAAGAGCCGCAGATAAACCTTTGTAATCAAACGGCACTGGATTGATAATGTTGGTCAGTTCCTGGCCAGTTACCTTCTCTCCCAGAATTACTTCACTAAACTGGTTCCACGCTGAAATCCTTTGACCGGGACAAAATCTGCCCTTGAGACACAATTTAATCAAAGACCACCGGCGAAAAGCGACACTTTTCCAGACATTAGGCGAATTGGGCATACATTGCTAGACCTTTATATTACAGACGTAGTCAACATCACGCCGGGTCACTTTACTTCCCAGGACTTTACCTGGTACCCATTTTAGGCTGAGTCGACCTAGAAGTAAAGGTTAATTTTAAAAAATACAATCGATTTGGATTTGAACCTTTGGGTCCGAGGGGAGTGTCTACTCGCTACACCAAGGCTACCACTAAAATAGTAGGCCTATTGTCTTTTATGCACGATATATATTATTTTAAATACTATCTTGCAACACTAGCACACGCGCGAGTACGCGCGCGCGCACACACACGCACACACAAATAACTACACTCTATTTTCTGTTCATCTTAACTAGTCTGGAGAGAATGACACTGCGAGAAGTTACTAGGGGATCTAGCCGGCGCTCAACACTCAGGGAAAGGCGACACAGATATACAATCAGACAGTTACTGGTGCCAGTGCCATCGGAATTGGAACTCTTCGCTTGCTGCTAAAGATGGGGACGGAGCGCTTATGTGGGTGTCCCGTGCGCTGTGATATCGATTCCTAATTCAACATTCACCTTCATTCTTCTAAACTGAATATAATAAAATAAAGCCACCAAACTAGTTAGACATATTTTTATTAGATAGTGCACCACAGAGAGCGCCGTCACTTAGAGACAATTGAAGTAGAAATAGAGGTCGACCACGCAAGCGATGGATAGACTGGTCAACACTTCCGGTCAAAATGGACGTTAGGCAGCGCGAAACAGAGGGAATTTTTTTACTTTTGCCGGACGGTGGCCGATGCATTTTTGCTCCATTTGTAGACTGGATATAGTTTCGTCGCCCAGCTTCTGAGTTGAATGCATGGCGTGACCCTGTGAGCTGCGGATTGCATTTGGAATGTTTTTTCGACTGTGACCAACGTGTTGGTGTGAACTTAGATTCAGAAAATGGCGCGAAGCCTGTCGTGCAGTGTTGTGGTGCCGGTATGTGATTAAAATTGATCGCGTGGGCAACTGCTGATCTGTTGGCGACTTCTGCTACCATCAATGATGAACTGCAATTCTAATACTGTGATAAACATTCTGTGTGTTTTTCGTTGATACAGGAGCTGAGCAAAGATGGGGTGACCCGTTTGCTATGAAGCTGAAACTAAGACTACCAGACCAGATGGATAGATGGAATCAAAGACAGTAAATACCAGCATCTACATAGCATATACCAAAGCTGGCACCCAATGCCCCTACAAAACCTGTCTCTGAAAGGCAGAACAGGGCTAGAGAAGAAAAATAACAGAAAACATTATAGCACTCATGACATTTCCATAAGCGCTCCGTCCACATCTTCAAAGGCAAACAAAGAGTTCCAGCTCCAGTGGTACCCTAACCTGAATGATGAATGTACATGTGTTTCTTTCAAACTCAGCATCAAGTATGTCGAACAAACAGAAGTGAAAATAGCTTGGTTTCAAAAGTAGGCTGGTAACAAGTTAATACCACTTTGTGTCCATTCTTATCTTCATTTCAACAGAGTCAAGGGACTTGTCGTTGCCGGTAATAGTTGACCAAATAACGCCCTTACCCAAACCCAAACCCTTCCATTCCCCAAAGAGCAGACTTCTCATACACTGTTTGTACCACCACGGAGCACGAGCATACATCACACAGTTCCCATGCGTCGCGTACCTGTTGTTATCCTTATCAGCTGTACTGAAAACTGAATTATTATGATAACTCAAACTATCGCCCGCATTCCCTCCGAGAAATTCCTTAATATGAAGACGGAAATTATCATTTTCTGGTCCCAACCTGAATGATGAATATGTAGCGGAGTACCTGTTGTTTTCAAACTCCATATCAACTCTTAAATCAAAATGACCACCTGACGTCAATAAAAAGACATTAAAATTACCCATCCAGAATTCTCCCTGGACATTTCCAAAACCAGTCTTATATACCGCCCAGTTTCTGAAAAAATTTAGAGTTCCATCAAAGCGCTTTAGAATGACAATCCAGCCTCCACCGTCAGTTTGAGAATCACAGAGAACTTCGCCGAAGACACCAGCTTTAGCAATAAAGCTCGGATAAATAGAGTCTCGGGAGCAGACCACAGAGGGATCCACGGATTCTCTGACCAATCTCACGTGAGTTTCTGCAGACAGAAAGTAGATCTTCGGTTATGTGAAGGCAGATGAACCTGACCATAAGATATATATATATTAAAAAAAAAACATTATCGACAAGTGTCTTGCGACTGGCATGGACTGTCATACTCCCCATGTTGATATCTCCAGTCAACACGGCGTCCGTGTCTTAGGCGTTTCGAGTCCGACTCGTAATTCCAACGTACCGCGATCGAAACCCACTGCTGGCTGCTTGGATTTTTATCGTGGTATGGGGCGTCACAGGTCGACCCAGCCTACAATGGGTACCATGATGTATTCCTGGGGAAGTAAAGACGGCCGGCGTAATGCTGACCACATTACCCACCTAGTGCTGACTTGTATGTAAAAATATGATTGCTCTTCCCATATACCCGATGCGCCTAAAGGCTTTAAAAGGGATCCTCACCTAACCTTATATGGCTCCATTGAAGGGCTTCAATTGCCTTGATACCTTGTCTCCGTAGCAGCAATGTCCTGATGAAATCGTTTAACACCTTCTTTGAATATATATATATATATATATATATATATATATATATATATATATATATATATATATATATATATATATATATATATATATATATATATAACAGCTTATGCCCGTTCCTACAAACAGAAAATCTAACATCTTCTGCCAGAAGTTTCGATTATTGCAATCTGGAATCCTAAAGCTCTGCTTTGTACTTCTGTCAATTCAAACCTCTTACACGATCATTCAGTTTATTTTGAGTCATTACGTGTGGTTTAGTGAATGTAGTTTGCTCAAAATCTGGATCGCTCGAGGTTGCTTCTTTAAGGCCACCAATGTCCTCTACTTCATCAGTGGAAGTAGTTGAAAATAATTCTAGCATTTTGGGTACTGGTAGATTATCACCATGTGGTACCAGACGTATTGTAGGGGAAATGTTAGGATGCTCCAGTCTATTTCTCCTTCTTTGATTTGCCGTTCCTAACTGAAGGGACCATGCAAAAGTAACAGTTGAAATGATCGGTGGGCTCTCTCCAAATCATTGGGATTGCAAAAGACATAGCTTGCCTTTTGTCATTCAACCACAGTTTCAGATTTGCTGCCCATGAGTTGCAACAAGTGTGGCGCACAGCTTTTATCTTGTTCTCCTTTCTGCAGGGAAAATAAAAATTGTATGCCTTTTTAAACACTTTAGTTATCTTTCGTTTTTGTGAGAGAAATGTCGCCTCACCACATACTGAACAAAAGTTATCAGCGCTGTTCACACACGCCCTAGGTATTTTTAACTATGCTAGTTTTTTTTTTTTTTTTCGTTTTTGAAAAGCTTTTTTATTGGGTAATTCTGTTTGTGTATTTACACGTTTTAACTATGCTAGTATTGTTAAAGACAAAGACGCGAGCTAATAATGCATAAAATATTTTTTCAGAGATAAGATATTTATATACAATGGTGATGTAATCATAGGCAGGACTGCATCATCAATTTCTGGTTACATTTTTTGGGTCATCATCATCATCATCATCAGTTCTCGTTATGCCTAGTGGCACATGAGGCTTCAGAGAAGACTTTCCATGCTTTCCTTTCCTGTGCAATCTTCAGTGCAGTTTTCCATGTCAAAGATGCCGCACTCAGGTCACTTTCCATCGTTCGTCTCCATGTTGTTTTTGGGCGCCCCTGTTTTTTCTTTCCCTCTGGTGTCCATGTGAGAGCTGTTTTGGCAGGTATATCAGAAGTCATTCTCATAACGTGGCCAAGCCATTTCCATCTTTTCTTGGTAATCATACTGTCTAATGTTTCTTGGTTTGTGGCTTGAAGTAGCTTAGTGTTTGAGATTGTATCTGGCCAGAAAATTTTGATAATTCTACGTAGACATGTGTGGTGGAAGGTGGACAGCTTGTGTGCATTTTTTGGTCATCAGGGGGAAAAAATTATACAACCGGTCACAACAATTGCGTCATATATATAAAATTTGGCCCTAATTAAGTAAGCTAGTGGTGTATATCTTGAAAATTGGAGCCAGTCAACATTTTTTTAATGTCATGTTCGTTTTCAGCATCAAAATTAGTTAGGATCAGCTATTTTCATTTCTAATGCATTTCGGTTGTAGATTAGTGTTATTTGAAGGCCGATGACAGGGTGTGAATAAAATCATAAGTAAATCCTTTCCGTGCTGAAATTCTTCTTCATCTTTGTTCAGTAAATGTAAGCTCCAGAGAAAAGTTCTGGTTTTTCGTCCATTTAGACTTTGGCTTTGTGCCAGGGCCTGAGTTTTGCGTGTACCTCTGTTTGACTGGCTTATTTGTGTACAGTTAATTGTTCCTTGCATCTGGGACTTGTACCCGGGTGATTCTCATACCAATGGTGGCAATTTGTGGTGTTTATTGTTTGTTGTGAGCTCCTGGTGGGGTTGAATGTTACCCACTCGCTCACGACTGATCTTCTTCGCATTCACCAGCTGTAAACTCCGGCGGAAAGTTCTGGCTGTTTCATCCACTTTTGGACTGCAGTCCTGATCCAGAACCTGAGTGTTGCATGTGCATCCGTTTTACAGATCTGACTCATTTGTATGCAGACTGCTGGTTCCTTGCCTCGCAGGCAGATGCACTCCGACTTTATAGGGAGCTCCCAGTTAGTCGGCTCTTACGACATGCTTTTGGGTAGGCAGTGGGTCTATTCTTGTTTTCCCTATAACAGGGCCCCGGAACCCACACGGGGAGCACACGACTGATAATTCTCTGCGAAATTCTGTATTTAGGCCAAAGTTTGCTGTCAGGTAATGAAGGTTCTCAAATGAAGGTTCCAGCTGTAAATGATTGCAAAATGTCGCTGTCGACCTGGCTGTGGAGTCTATAAAACGACAGTTCTCCTAGCTCTTGATGTTATTCGCCCACTTGTATCACTGCCTACTTCTTGCTCGTATGATTTCAGCTTACCCCAACCCCATCTCTCCACCCACGCCGACCAACTTCTACACCAGTATGGGTTTTATGTGAGTACAAAATTGTAATGCCAGATTTGTTCAAACATGATTTCGGCTCCCATGTCGATTAAGCCTTAAATGGGCACGAGGTGGAGTCCTGGGAAGTAAAGGCGACCGGCGTGGTGTTGACCACATGAACCCATGAAGGCCAATTTGTCTTTACAAATATGAGACTAGCCTCATATGCCCAATATGCCACTGCCGTGTAAGGGGACGTTTACTTTCAATGTATAATGTTGTAGCAACATACTTTTACCAAAGAGAGGTTTGGGAGGAGAAAGCAGAGGGGGGAAATAATGAATTGAGAGAAGAAAAAGACACAGAAGAAGAAGAAGTAGAAGAAGAAGAAGAAGAAGAAGAAGAAGAAGAAGAAGAAGAAGAAGAAGAAGAAGAAGAAGAAGAAGAGAAGAAGAAGAAGAAGAAGAAGAAGAAGAAGAAGAAGAAGAAGAAGAAGAAGAAGAAGAAGAAGAAGAAGAAGAAGAAGAAGAAGAAGAAGAAGAAGAAGAAGAAGAAGAAGAAGAAAAAGAAGAAGAAGAAAAAACAGAAAAAAGAAGAAGAACCATTTGGAGAAGGAGTGGAAGAACAGCAATAAGAAGAAGAACAATGGGAATTAGCACGAGTGGATTATAAGAAGTGAGAAAAAATAAAAATACAAGCAAATGGAAGAAAAAGCTCATGTTTACTTACCATTAGCAAATCCGGAAGTGCTGATTGTTAAAGAAAATGTCATACAAAAAAGCAGCTGTATCATAGAAAAGCGATCTGTTTCCATGAAGACAATTTTGTCGTCTTTTGTTCAAATATATAGCGACACAGTTCTCCTTTTCAACCCAGAAACAACCTGTTTTCTTATACTAAATGAAGACAGTCAAAAGCACCTACTTTCAACACATGTTGTATTTTACAGCCTCAATAAAGCCGGACTTCACCGTGTGTGTGTACAGTTGTATAGATGTTATAACATATACATTAAAGTTAATTACTAAGCACAATACAGGGGTGACCTGTATAAATGAGGTGACGGCATGATTCAAGTCCTCTATACTTAACTCTTTTTGTCCCAAGTATTGTGCAGTAAATATATAATGAGATCTGTAATAGATATGCGAGGAAATATGGTTGTTGGTCATAACATAAACAACTTACGTTATGCTGATGACACTGTCTTGATAGCAACAAGTCAGAAAAAAAAAAAAAACTACAGTGATTGACAGACATTGTAGTGGTAGAGTAGAAAGAGATAGATTGGACCTTAGCTTGAACGATTAGAAGACACAAGTAATGAAATATAAAAAGAATATCAAAGGAAAGAATAGTGCCTAAATGTGTAATACAAGTCGAAGTCATTATTTCAGGACAAGTATAGAAATTTA